ATGCTTTTTAGACAGAAATAGTTTTTTACATGCAATCCTATTTTACACAAATTATTTCGTATACATCTAAGAGATATATTTTTTTGTCGTTTTTTAAAGCCCAGAAAGCTTAATACTTCCAAGTTGTGGATCTGCATTTTTTTTCAAATAAGATATATCATTACTATTAATTAATGAAGGCCTACCAGAACCAGATTTTCTTTCTAATTGTCCTGTTTAATTAATTTTTTTTTATTTTGGAAACTGTCGATTGGCTTATCAAGAACTTTTTTGCAATTTATTTTTGTTTTCAGCCAATTTCTAAGAAAGTCTTAATCCCGGACTTTTCACTCAAAGATAATTTTTGTGTCATAAGAGATAAAAATAAAGTTTTTCTTAGTTTTACATAAAATTTTCCCGCCAAAAAAAAAAATTCCATTTTGCCACCTAAAATAAAAAATTTTCTGTTAATACAAATAAATTTTAAAAAACATTGTAAATTTCTTTCAGTGTATTTCACATTTTCTATCAAGGTAAAAAAAATCAAATGATGTAGCTATAAAGTGTATGATTACTATACTATTCAAATATTCCTTTTTTTGCCACTATTGTAATTATTGGTTTTAGTTATGAATTTAGTCATTGATCTGTTAGTCTTCAATAATAATTAGTTTTCTATTTGCACAAGGTATTCAAAAATTTCTAAAGCCGAATTTTATCTAGGTTAATTTTAATAAGTTCTAAATAGGTATAATCTCTTAACTCTTTATGAAATAATTCTTCAATTTTATTCTATGTGTCAATTTTACTTAATCTATGATATGTCCATAAGCTATCATTTTTTACTTTATAGCTTCACAATATTCTTTTATCGTAAAAAATTTAATCTGAGAAATGTTGTCTAATTCTCTAATGGCTTAACGCTTCTGTCCAGGAGGATAATTATGTCCAAAAGTTTTTCTCTTAATCTGACAGAAGAATCGTTAGGCAAATACTCCTTCCTTTCATCAAGTATACAATCTAAGTAAATCACCGCCATCTGTTGATCATTCCAACCATTAGCTTTGGCTGGTTCTTTAAATCTATTATATGGGCACATCTAATTCTGTTTTAATTCTACTAATTCTTTTTATTTTTTCTTTAATTTTTACATTCGTTCCTTGTATTATCTTTTCAAATTCTGCATAGTTTCCATAATTCTTATCGTCTTGATTGATATTCTTCGTTAAACTTAACCTGAGGTGCTTACTAGGAATAAGCCCTAGTTTATTATACAACTCTAAATAATTTTTTATTAATGGCTCTATTGGCCGAATACTATTAATAAAGCTCTCCCTGTAGCTAGTATTTTTGTTAGAACCGTTCTTATTATCGGATTTGCTATCATATATAATTGTGTAGGGGTAAAATATTTATACTTTAAAAAATTCTAGTAAATTCCTTTTTTAAGAAAATACTTCTTTTTGTACATGTGGTCTCATACCACGGGGCACATTTTTATTTATACATTTGATTTTAGTAAACAATATTACCTTGAAGATAACAGGTCATGATGAGATTTTAAATAAATATTTTTTCCATTAAATAGACAGTAATTATTTTAACATTTTCTCTTACAGACTTATAAAAATTAATATGTCAGAGAAATCTCGATGACTAAAATTTTAATTAAACAAAAAATTGTAAATTTTGATTATTAATCTAAAACTATAAAAATATGAACCTTATGTGCTTTTAGTTATTTAAAATTATCTTTATAAATTTTTAAATTTTGTTATCTTTAGCATATAAAATCATTTTAAAATATTATTTTTACAAAAATTAGATCACGCATTTAATAGTTTTAGACAAAAAACATTAAATTAAAATTATACTTATTTTTTTGGCTATTTTAAAATAATTATTTTGTCCCTTATGAAATATCGATATTGTCAGAAAATGTTGTTTTTGATTGGTGCTTTAATGGCAAATGTCGCCATTAACATGACTAGCCAAACGCACGAATGTCATCTACACGCAGATAATGGAACAAATGAACAAGAAAGTTTTGTGAACAACATTTTTAGCCTTTTAAACAAAACAAGAAGTGAATTAAGACAGCAAATATGTTTGATACAACGTATAATTCTTCCATTATTTGTTTTTATTTCTGGTTTATCTTTTTTTGCAGCGGTCTCAGTTTTACATAGTAGTAATAATTTCTGGTTTGGATCACTGTTTTTTATCATTTTTCTTATATTAATCTTTTATGATATCAAAATTTTTATTTTGCTAGTAGATTTAAAAAAAGGCTTAAAGGATGATTATTAAATATATATTTATTTTTAATCTAAACCAATTTAATACTGTATAATTTAATTTACTGGTTGTTTAAAAGATAAGCAATGACCTTAACTTTTAATTACAAGGTTTATAAATTTGAAGAACTACAAATTGTAAACGATAAATTTAAAAATTATTTGTAAATTTAGATTTAAATATAAATATATTTTGTAATAATATAAAAGATAGATGTAAATATTTAATTATTTTTAAAACAGTGCTGTTTTTTAATCATTTTTAAAACTTACTTTTACAAAACATGTATATTATATTTTTTTAAATACAATTATAGAAATATCTAAATGTTAACAATCACATCAATTACATATGTGTTATTTGTAATTTTCGTATAATTTTTTTTAAAATTCATATTATATATGTCGTAACAATTAAAATCTTGCTTACAACAAAATACAAAAGCAGAGAATATTATTTTTTACTAAAAATTTATTAATTTTCTAGAAAGAGAAATGGAAAGTTTTATGAAAAAAAAGGCTTGACAATATACATGACAAAAACAATATGCACTTAACGCTTATGTACAATAATGTTAAAATGTAATTCTGCCTCTTTTAATAAAATAATCTATTGAGTAGTCTGTCAGTTGGTATGAAAGTGTAATTGTAAATTAAAAAATATTCATTTTATCTACATCAACAATAAAGTTTTGGCTTTTAGAAAAATGAAAAAAGTGTACTACAACAATAAAATGATGGAAAGCAGATGTTTTTGACAAAAAAAGTTTAACTTTTCAAAATTGGTGTAAATACAAGCTACAAGCTTTTTTAAGAACAGACTTAAATTTTTTGCATTTGGATGAACATATTATAAAAATTTTTTAAAACAAACAGTAGAATTGACAAGTAATTCTTTATAGATTTAAGCATAATTATTTAAATTAATAATAATTGATAATGCAAGTTAGATATTTAGTATATATAAATTAAGATTTTAAGATTATTTTAATTTTTAACAGAAAAGTTTTTACGTGAAATTGGTAGAAAGGATTAAAATTTAATTTTTTTTTATTTTAAAAATACATTTTTGTGTATTATTGGCATGTATTGATCAATGCTAAAAAAGGTCTTTTTGGTTAAGCCACACTACCTGTAAAGTCATTTTATTGTAATGTAATTTATTTAAATACCCCCATAAGCCATGGCGGTGTCAAATAGAGTAGTCAAATGGCTCAATCTCTTTATTTATATTTATTTTGATTATTTATTCAGAAAGCATATAAATTGATTTATTATAAATTTTACAAAAGGTTGACAAATTAATCTGTGTTAAAAATATGTTTTATAACATCAAATAAATTAAAATAAAATTTTTACAGCGTCATTTTGATTTTTTAAAGCTATAAACTGACACTTGATTTTAGGATTAATATATATTGTTACATATTTAAGTAATTTTGCCGCCTCATTATGAAAAATAAAGTAAAGGCGGCAATACCAGGTATTGAGTTTACAAGCATTGTTTGTTGTCTATAAGTCAAAAAACGATAAAAGAAATGTAGAGAATAGCATATAAGTTGGTGTTGGAGGCAGTAGTGACTAACAATCTTAGAAGGGAATTTTTTAGTAATCAAGTAAGAATTTAAAAGTTAGATCTTAGAAAAAATCAGAAAAAAAAAGCTATTTAGGATTATCGAGAAGTTAGAAAACAGCTAGTTAAATTAATAACAGAGAATTTAAAAAACAAATTACAGGATAATCAATTAGGAATTTTAATAAACAATAAAGCGTGTTGATATGAGAAATGGAACTAAAGATCGGTATAACATTCGCAGATTTAAACGTCTTGTAAAATATTGTTATTTTGGAAGAGTGTAAAAAGGTTAGCAGAAGCAGAAAACGCGAGTATATTGATAATGAAAAAAGTTCTTTTTCTTGTTTTGTGTTTGATGAAAGAAGCGAAGAGCAAATATAAAGAGGAAATAAAGCTAATAGGATTAAAATAAAAACAAAAGGCAGGTAGAACTACGATATATAGAAATTCTGAAAATATAATAAATAAAAAATCTGACATAAGAAAATGTTCGGGTTAGCTAAAAACATGTTTGTTGATAAAATAACTCTTTAATGTTTATTAAAGATCAATAACCTGCGAAATTTTGATGTATTAAAACTAGAATACCTAAAGTACCAGTCACAACCGTTTACACCAACGTTGTGCCGTTTCACTAAACTGATCATCTCCTCGATTGGCCACATGTATATTAATCCTAAAAGAAAACATTAGAAGACAATTAAGTAAGTATTTGAAGAAAAAGAAAATAGAATATTGTAAATTGGAGAAGTGTGTGATAGCAATACTTAAATGAAATAAAAAATGAAACAAGAATAGGCCATTTTTTAAATGCTGATGCCACAGGTAAAAAATTATATTAAGAATTTAAAAGAAAGAAAGTTTATATGAAAATCAACATCAGACTGAAGATCTTGATTAGAGCGATACAAAACTCTAATAAAGGGGATGCGAGTTGTATGTAAAAAATTTTACAGAATTAAAAATGACTGAGCTGGAAAGGAACATACACGCTATTTAATGTGCGAAAAATTATTGAAGCAATACTGGGGTTGAAGTAGTAAACAGTTATAGATTTTAAAAAGGGATTTTACAATGTAGAGAACAAATAGGATGATAAACATAAAATAGTCTCAGAGTTTAATAAATAGTATACGAATAAAATCGTATAATTATAAAATACAAAAACCGTCTCAAATTGTACATGAAATAATGACTAGGATTTTTGCTGACTTACAGAGAAATGATGAAGTAATATATATGAATGATATTATTATATACGCGCAAACAAAATGAAGACATGGTAAATTGGTCATAAAAATATTTAGTTGCATTAAAAGGTATAAGATGAGGATAAATATTGGTAAAATACAGTTTTATCAAAAAGAAATAGATATCTTATTTCACATTGAATGAAAAGGAAATGGAAGTAGATGAGATAAAAAAAGCTATGTACCTAATTACTCATATTTTGGAAGTGTAGCAGAATTTAGAAGATTTTTATGAATGACGGGATGGTTTAGAAATTTTATTCTTGACCTACATTACAGTTGACTGAAATTTTTAAACAAATTTGGAGACTTGGAAATAAAGAAATTAAATTAATAAAAAATTATAAGCTAAAAGAAAGTGGTAAGACAAATGGAACTTAATGCTCCTAAACTACAAACAAGAGTTTTTATAAAAAATAGATGTAAATTATTGCAGATTAAATGCGGTTGTGTTACAACAAAATCATAAAAATTGATAATAGTTGTTTAATGGTCGTCTATCAAATTAATGCCTGCGAAAACAGGATGTTGTACTTTTGAAAAAGAAATCTGTGCAATGTACTGAGGAATTAAAAAGTTTGGATACGAACTTAGAGGAAGAAAATTTAAAATCCAAGCGAAGCATAAAACCTTATTTGAAAATAAAATAAATTCTATTTTTATAATAATCGTGTAAATATGTTGACCGAAAAAAGTATAAAAGTTTGAGTTCACAATTAAATATTTGAAGCTATAGAAGATAGTTGATGCGTTGAGCAGAATAAACATTGAGTAAGACGCAAATAAAACAGAGATGGGGATGAGGAATTAAAATAAGTAGAAATTAAATGGATAATACATATTTTAAAAAAGGATGGAAAGATGTACCTAGACAATTTAGAATGATAAGAAGATAAAAATTTTACAAAAAAGTTAAATAGAACAATTAATAAATATAATTGTGGTAATATCTACCATTACCATATCAATTTTGTTTATATCTTTGTTTTTTTTCAATCTATTCTTTATTAATATCATTGCGTGTCCTGTGTAATATTTATACTAAACAAATAAAGTATTAAAGGACAAATTGAATAAACAACAATGAAATCAAGGTACCACCAACAAAAAGGAAACAGTCGTAAAGAATCACGACTTAACACGAATAATCTTCTTCAAATAAAAATTATACTAATTTTACACATGAGATTACAGGAGGAGGCTCTAGAACCTTAAATGTGCTTGAGACTTATTTCGCAACTGACTGAATTCCTGATAAGTACCCCAGAAGCGTACGAGAAATTGAATCATAGATATATCACAGTAAACTATTATGCGATATGGGAAATGTTTTACTGGCCTGGTGTTAAAAAGAAAATTTCAGAAACAATCAAAAAACATGAAAAAAGTCAAGTCGATACTATTGAAAACGTAGGAGTGAACTTGTGTTTGTAGATATCACAAGATGTTTTAAAAAAATAGCACTCAACTATACAAGTTTTAGAGAAGTATATTTTTATTACGATAGATTATTGTATAAGGAAAAAGTGGGAAAGAGATATAGATAAGAAATCGAGCAAAAATGTAACAAAATTCATCAGTGAAGTTGTATTGCGAGAGAAGAAAGTCTGAAGAAAAAATTATAGATAACGATATAGAATTTATTAATGATAAATTCAAAAATCTTTGTAAAAGTCTCGAAATTAAACATATCAAATAAGTGTTGAAAACAGTGGAGAGACAAAGAGAGTAATAAAATTTCAAAGGAAAGTAATATCAAAATCATGCAATGCAAATTTTAAAAAGGATATCGTTGTTTTTACAGAGTTATAAAATACTTAACATGCGATGATTAAATGTAAGTTGTTAGAAGCTGAAAAGTATTACACAGGTATTGTTATAATAAAAATGCTCTAAAAGAAGTTTAAAGTAAACAGTTTATGAAAGGCAAAATAGAAACATTTTAGAAAGCACAAAGTAGGTGTTGGTACTTAAAGTATGGTTATTAGAAAACATGGGATTAATGTTAAATACTATATAAATGTAAGCATGTTGATTATCTCATAACAATGATTTGTGAAATATTTAACATGAAGATTAGCATCCAACAATAAGAGTTAATAAACGAAAAAATAAGCAGAATATAAAAATACGAAAAATGAAGATTCTTAGACGAAGAAAATAAATGAAAAATGTGGTGGAATTATGTACATCGTTATATTTAATAGTAGAATTTTGACAAAAGAAAGAAATATGGCTTTAAAGGTCATTAGAAGGAAAGGAATAACTATCAAAAGGGGGATGTTATACAACAGCGGAGTTTAAAAATAAAAATTTTTTAACAAGAAATTCAAACAATCTTATAATTTAGTTTCTAAAAAGTCTATTTTACGACATAGAAGTGTGTTCTGTATAAGCTTAGCAGGTTTAAATATTTAAATGTGGATTTTTATTTGCTTATTTAAAAAAATAAATTTTACCCGGAAATAAAAAATAGAATTTTTAAATTTTCTTCCAAAATAATAAAATTAATAAACTTTTATAACCCTTATGTTAAAAAGAGAAAGGTTTTTGCTTGAGCTTAAAATTATAGCTGAATATAAAGTCGAAAGAAAAAAAAATTCTGAAAAGATCATTTTTTATCCTTTCTACGTCTCTAGAATAATAAAAGATTGTAAAGAAGGAACAGCTATTTAAACTAAGGGTTTTGGTAAAAATTTTTGCTTAATAGTGTTGATTTTTTGTATCTTGACAAGAAAATTAAAAAGGATCCATTAATAGGTTTAACTAAACTAGCGGAAAAAGTTTTTAAAATCAGAAAAAAGAAAGTACTGCTAGGATTATTTGTTAAAAACTAGTTGTTGTGGGTTATAAAGACAGGAGAAGAGCATGTAAACTATTTTCGTTCAAAAAATATTCAAAATAGATTAAGACTAGTAACAGAATGGTACTACAAAGAGAAAAATTACTTTAAAAGTATTATATGAAGTAGTGAATCTAAGGTATTATTGTTTGAAAAAGTTTATTGCCGCCGTGAAGATGGTTTTCGATATGACATGAAAAATAAAAAACCTATTGTTAATCTTAGCAATAATTCAATCATGGTTCGAGGATGTTTTTCGGTAAAAAGTGTGGAAAATATCAACATTATTGAAGGTAAAATGGATAGTTTAGAGTATACAACAATTCTCAATGATAATTTATTTAAAAGTGCAGTAGATTCAAGTTTTAAATTTTTTAATTCAACAAGATAATGATCCAAAGCACACAAAGAAGATTTTTAGTTTAAAAATATAGAATTAATCGAATGGCCATCTCAATCATTTGATTTAAATCCAACTGAGAATCTATGGTGTGTTCTGATGAAAAATGTTGATTCTAAACGGTGTAAAATATTTAAGAATTGAAAGCTACTGTGGCAGAAGAATGGTGTAAGTACTTAATGAACTGTGCAAAAAGTTGCTTTGGGACTAAAAAAAATATGAAGCTGCAATTGGGGCGAAAGGTGGTCATACAAGTTATTAATAAAAAAATTCTATTTTTTATTTCTATCTAAGATTTATTTTTATTAAAATCATCTGGCTATTTGATTGAATTTTAAATCAAAACACTACAATACACGTGAAAATGTATTTAATAACATATGCACTAAATCTTAGTTATTAATAAATAAAAATTAATAGGTAAATTTAAAAAGAATAAATTTTATTTTTTCATTCCTCTACTGTTCTAATAAACTAAAACCTTAATTTTAACTTAATTATAAGATTTATTAATTTCTTTTTTTTTATTTTCCTCAATAAAAATTAAAAATTCATCAAAAGAATTATAATAATCAGCTAACAGCGTACTTCTAACCCTAGATGGTTCTATAATGATAGCATTATTTTTTAAAGTTTTAATCTTTTGTAAAGCAACATTGTCAGGTTCTAAAAGGTAAAAATAAATAATTTTACAAAGTTCTACATGAAAATTCATAAAAATGTTTAAATCTGATGTAAAAGGCAGAAATTGATCATTAAATTCATAAAAATATCAGTAATGAATTGAAATAAATTAATTTAAAAAGTATATCTTAAATATCGCTTCATCATTATCATCAAAAACCATATAAAGTTTCTCTAAACAGTTCTTATGTTCCTTATTACCATCAAAATTATCAGTAACTTTTTTTAAACTAAATTTTTCTTTTTCCTCTGACAAATTAGTATTTAATATGTTTTTAAAAAAATTTGAATTTTTTTTACCACCTCCAATAAGAGCTTATTTAAAATATGCTGTTCTATTGACATTAAATATAGAACCAAAGATTTGAAAATTTTGTCGATTCTGTATTCTAGCTTTTCTGAAAGTACATTATATTTTGACGCATTAGAATATATTAAGAATTTAAGAATGGGACAACTAATTACTATTTGATAATTTTCCTCAATAAAAGTTTTTTCGGTTTGATCTGTGGGACTACAACCATTTTTCTGAGAAAAATCTTTTGAATATTTACAACTTGAACAAACTTTTCCGCTTATACAACAACTCCTCTTCAAATTCGGCTTCAGCGACATTTTGTTAACCGACACCTTACTTTCAGAAGTAGCACAATAATTGTACATCAACAAACGAGTTGATGTATTACTTTTTAACTTTTAACTAAAATTGTTGAAATTAATTGTTTTCTTGCAATAATTTTCACATTTATTGTTCATTGATCTAGTATTTAGAATATGATTAAATGCAGTCGGGCACTTTGTGAAAGAAGATGCGCTTTTCATTATCGTTGGTTTTTTTGATACAAAAAATTTTGTAGAGGCAAAGTTTAAAGATTGGACTTTTTTTAGATTTTTGTTTGATGTAATAGAATTTTTTAGACATTTTGACTGATCTTATCTTCAACATCAAATGTGGCATTTTTCAAGAAAGAGTAATCCGTAGAATTTACGCAAAAACAAAAAATAGCTAATTGGCAAAATATAGCATCGTTTAATGGGATAATTTTTTTAATTTAAAAACTACAAAATATTTTTAATTAGTTTAATCTCTTTAAAAAAGGACAATTTTTTTTCAGATCTTTTTGTTTATATATTAAAGCTGTAAAATATTTTTTATAAATTTTGAAATTCTTACAAAATTGTTTTTGTAAGATTAATTTAACATATAATTTTTTAATTTATAGGTTTCATTATTTATTGAATAAATGACTTTTTGTTTACTTTGGAGCTTTAATATACATTATTTAATAATTTTTTTGATAAATAAAAGAGAAATGCAATTTTTTAATGTTTAATAATTTTTAACTTGGTAGAAAGAAATAAAAGCCATTATATAACACAATCAAAATCGTGTAATGTTTTAATTTATTAAGTCAATCATTTAAATTATTTGTTTATTAAAACTTCCTATGAGTATGAATTTGCAAATTTTAAAAGATTAAATGGTTTAAATTTTATTTAACAAGTTTGGGTTCTAATTCTAAAATTGACAAAAACTTTTAATAAGCTGTGAAATAATAAGTCATATAATTTTATTTTGATAAATAATTATCGTGTATTAAAGCTATAAAAAGTAAATTTTATTACTTAAATTTTATTATTTGTAAAATAGCATAAAGGATGATACAAAAAATTTATAAGTAATATTTTTTTATAGCAAAAACACAGCATTTATAGTCTACGATCTTCACGAATTTGCCTATCTTTAAAAAAATATAAAAAATATCATTAACAACTAAATTCAAAAAAAATCTTCAAAATATCATTATGTATACATTAGAACCTTTTCATTATTTTTGTATAAAATATGCCACCGTTTAAATGTATATTGGATTAACCAGTTGCCTAAATAATCACGTAAAGCGCCATTTTCTTTCTTAATAGTACTTTTCATATGGTCTCAAAACCCTTCGATTTTATTCATGTGGATGTTATCTACAAAAACTAAAATTTCCAAAGTGAATGACGATATGATATTTAAATTTAAATTTCTTGCAACTGCTAAATATAACGGTAGTCTATCGGCAAATAGAATGCTATCATTTTTAATTTTAGGCATCAAGTCTGCGATTTAATGATTTTATATTGCGATCAGTACACTACAAAGAAAAAAATTCCTTTCTTTTGTTCGGTCTATTTCGCCTAATTTTAAATTATTTTCCCATATCATCGTCGCTTGTAGAATTTCTAATAATCATTTAAAGTGACAAAACGCTTTCATCAACTTCAACGATTATACTACATTCCCCAACACAACAGCTCTTTTTTCAAAATAATTTTTGTAACTGCGGTATTAAACCCACAAATAACGGTAAAATTAATCAATAGTCTTATTTGCTGGTCGAATGATTCAATTAATTTGATTTACAAGAATACACGTTGTGATTCTCAAAGATGATTAAACTATAATAAAAAGTAAGCCTATATAAAAATTTCATCAAATAAGCATATTCCGTGATAATTCATTTTTTGCAAATAAAACAAACATGGTAAAAATCTTCAACCCCAAACCACATCATATGATCAAGGGTATCATAGAAGAGTGTTTGAAGACAAATACTATTCCATAAAGTCACGTCAGTAATGAACCAGAAGTAAAAACTTACACTTTGCGATAGTAGTATTAGATATTCCAAAAAATATCGACAATTGAAAGTCATTTAAGTTGCACAATAAGAAATACAATAGTCTTGTTATTTTTGTTAAAGATAAAGTAGATTAAAACTAAGAAAGGGGTTTCTGACACCTCTTCTTTGTGCATCTATAACCCATATCTCCGACGCTTGCAAAAATTGACAACATTTTGATAATTTCCACGTCTTAGGCACAAAAAGGTAATGCTTATAAGAAAATTTTTAAGTACATCTAAATTAAAAAAATTTCATGGCTTATTTATTGTAATAATCATAAAAGTTATTTCAATTATTTTACTCCTTAAAAATAGTCGTTTATATATTTATGCAAAAGAGGGTGAAGGCTTTTTTATGTTATATGTGCTTTTGCTATTGAATTAAAACAACTTGTTACATTTATGAATACAGATAGTAATAGTGTTGTAAATTCTACATTCAGAGTGTTGATTTGTTTTGTTTATGCTTATAGGTTTTATATCAATTAATTTTGTTGTTTATTTTTTAATTTATTTTTAATATTGTTTGTTTACAAACAATAACATTACTATAAATATAAAACAAAAAGTTACCCCATGAAATATTGGTAAGAAATAACTTGACACGAACAAGACAAGACACCAGAATATTCCAGACCTCATAGTGTGGGAAATATGGTGATTAAAAACGTATAAAACATAATTGAATCTTCTTGTAAAGACGGATACGTCAAATAGTAATAAATAGTAATAGTAATAGTAATAGTAATAGTAATAGTAATAGTAATAGTAATAGTAATAGTAATAGTAATAGTAATAGTAATAGTAATAGTAATAGTAATAGTAATAGTAATAGTAATAGTAATAGTAATAGTAATAGTAATAGTAATAGTAATAGTAATAGTAATAGTAATAGTAATAGTAATAGTAATAGTAATAGTAATAGTAATAGTATTATGAATCAGGTGCCTTACGTCCCCCCAGTGGGGGACGTAAGGCTTCTGTTACATCATATTAATCTTTTAACTCTTAAGTTGGTGACGCAAACAGAGTTAGATTTAGTAATTAAGGCAAATGAAAACGAAATTGCAGTTTTATTGTTTGAATGGAATTTAATTAAGATAAACAGAGTTGTAGATTTTGCCATAAAAATATGCGCCTTACGCATAATTCTAAAGTTCCTGATAAGTTCAGATAGAAATTCTGCTTTTATGGTTTTAGAACTATTGGAAAATCTCTTTTCTGTGGTCTAATTCTTGGCTCTTCTTATTTAAAAGTGATATCAAAACAATACTAAAGCAAATTATTACTATTCGTTAGGTGAAAATTATTCAGAAATCATTGAACGTTCAGGCATTGTAAAAACTCCTAAAGAAGCAGTAAAACATTATAGACAGACGAATTGCGATATTTTTCATTGATAATCGCATTAAATTGTGAGTTCATAATATTTTTGTGCAAATAAATGAAAATAAGTTGAATTATAATCTGGAGAGTCATAGAGGTAAATTTTTACAGGACTGTTGGTGTTTCTGTATCGTAGATACATCATTTAAACCTGCATTGGATCTGCTACTATTGTAGAATACAGATCTGCAAGTGTTCTTATTACTATAATAAATTCTATTGCTCAAGCCGGAAGTATTATATACTCTGATGAATGGAAAGCTTATAGAAGTCTATCTAGTTCAGATGATTATGACTATTACACTGTTTGTCAAAAATACAATTTTGTAGTTCCTATTACTGGTGTGCATAACAGCACGTAGAATCGTACAATAACAGGCTTAAGGTTCAAATTAAATCAAGAAAGGGAACGATTTTAGCTCAAAAAAAGCATTCTTATTAGAATTATTGTTTAAAGAGCAGCATACTACAGAACAATTTTCGTCTTTAATTAAATTATTAAAATGTTTTTTTTTTTAAACGGGGACTGAGAGAACCTGATTCGTATTGTTAAGAGTTAAAAACAACAGTATTATTTTTTTGAAATACTTTCTATGTATGAAAAAATATCGGGGTAGTTGCTTATTTTTCAACGAATTTGCCTACCAGTTTTTAATGCTTATTGATTTCTTGACTTATTGTCTTTTTTTATTTTTTTAGTCCCTATTTTTAGGTTGAAAAAAGATAAGTAAATTTGTGGAGAAGACCCTTCTATTCCTTAAAAAAGCATTCAGACTCAGTAATTTATAGTATGGACTGTAAAAACTACTTTGGTTAAAATCATTGTAGTGGTCCGTAATATCTACAAAGTAGATTTAAAAGATTACTTTGAATTCTTTTTAATATGAAATTTTACAATATTTTTTATAGTAGTTAAAAAATCTCTGGTAAAATTTTCATTAAGCAGTTTGAAATTGGATATTAAATTTTTTGAATAAAAAGTACTTTAATATTTGCCCAGCTAATCTGCAGTGCAATCCCCACAAATTCTTTATACTATATTATTACATACTATTGGTTAAATACCTTTATTTTCTTCTTATTTTATATCAATGCCTTTAATTCTTATCTCCATCTATTGATCTTCATCAATATTTTCATTTACATGTTTAATGTTGTTATTGAATTCAAATTAAAATGTTCTAAAAGGAATAATCATTTTTAAGCGAAGCTTTTGTTATAAATTTTAAACTTATAAAGAATTTGTTTTGCGTTAATTGTGTCATAATTTACAGGGGTTTTACAAAATTTATTGCACCCGGTTTTAAAAATGTTTTTTATGAAAGATAATAGAATTATTTTAAATCTTCTTAATTTTAAAAAAATATTCTACCAAGTTTGATTATGTCTTTCGAAGACCTGTCAGTAACATGTATTAATACAATATTATTTCAAAAATCAACCACTACTAATTTTTTACATTTGGGCATGTTTTTATGATTTTAAAGAAATAAATTAATGATAATTTATATTTTGGGTATAAATTTGTAATTTTAGAATTGAACTATTTTATCGTAAGATAAATTACATATAAACAAGTTTCTTAATGTAATTACTGTTGTATGATCTTGTACTTTTGTAGGCAAAAAACAAAGTGATATTTATAAAATTTTATTTAAATAAGCTCTTTGATAGCAAATAGTATAAAAAACTATATACTTACTTTATAATAATAATCTTATAAAAATTAAAAAAGGCTTTTACAGAATGTTATCATAATCATAAGCTTTTCATAAAATCTGTGATTAATATTTTAAAAATTTTATTTGTTTAAAATGATAAATAATTTATAAATTTTATTTATAAATGTTTTGAAATACATTTATTATTTAACTAAAGTTTACCTTCCTAGTAAATTTAAGCTATTTATTTTATTTTTTATTAGTCCCTAATGAATTCTCAATTTTATCAAAAAATATTTTTGCTTAGTTTTTCTTTAACAAATGCAAGTTCAATTAATGAAACTGATGTGCAAAACGATTATGAGTTAAATACATACGAAAGAATTTACCACAAAAAATTAGAATTTATTTTAGCTGATATGCAAACTAGATTGAAAAAATCAAATGATACTGTTAAAGGGCCTTATGAAATATCTTTCTTGGGCCTTGTGAGAGATCGTAAATTACTTTATATGTGCCTTCGGTTTTTATTTTCTCCGTTTTGTTTTTATATCATTGTATTATTATTTTCTAAATTTTTACAAAGTGAATAGATAGAAGAATCATTTTTTTATTGCTTCTTGGTTATCGTTTTTGTACTTCTTTATTTTGCTGTGTATGACAAATGTAAAGAAATGGCACTATTTATAAATTCTACATGGTAAAGTAAAATAAATGATTTAATTTGTATTGAAATATCAATCAATTTTATTTTAATGGGTTCACGTTATGGTTAAAAAAATTTAGTACTAGACTATAAATTTGCAAGCAGCATATTTTCAGATGGATGACATAGAAAACTTTGTTTAAAACTGCCACGATATGCACATAAAAAGCTTAACATCTAAGTTAAATTAATAGTCTGAAACAAAGTGGTTATAAACATGTCTTAGATTTTGCAAACAATACAAAATTGCAGTAATCTTTTAAATGTATTGAAAAAAATTTTTTAATAGCATCAAACAAAAATGCTTTCATTTAATAAGATTTTACGTAGAATTACAAAGAAATGGCTTTGTATAGCAAAAATTTAATTTTGTGCAAATACAAATCATATTTTCGCGTATATAAATCTCTAGCATTATTTCTAAGTAGGCACCCTGAAGATAAGAAATTTTCTAAAAAGCACGCTCCTAAGCCTAAAAGTTTTTGTTAGCATTGATGTATTTATTTGTAGATCTGCTATCAGTAATTGCATTTTTCTTAGTCGTTGTTTGCTGATGATGGTTGCTGCTCATGATTTTCTTGTACATAAAAAATATATACGGGTAAACTACAATTAAATATTTTTAAAAAATTTATTTTAAAGGGAAAATAATAAAATAAAAGAAATTAATATTATGTGGTAATTATATTACAAAAATTAAATAATTTGTAGTTTTTTTTACAGTTGGTTACATAATTCTATTCATTTTTATCAATGTTTCGCTTACATTTTTAAGCAGCAACTTTAGAAGTATTTTGTTTTTTTTGCAAAAAATAAACTCTTTAATTAGTTTAAAAATGTGCAGCAAGATATAATTTGGCCTGCTGTCATGGATTTTTTTATGAAGTATATGTACCATGGTTTTATGCAATTTACGATACAAACTATTAATTTAATATTTTATATTGATAAAATATTTATAAATAATAAATTTTTTAGTTAAAGGTTAAATTATTATTTTGCGTTCAAATTATTTTATTAAAAGAAGAAGATGATAACTCAAATTGCTTAAAATTTTTTACCTGTAAAAAAACAAAATTAAACTACATTCCGTTGCATAACCCTACGATATCCTTATTTTTATCATTAAACTCCACCAAAATTGCACTAATCTAAAAGTTTATTGACATTAATTAATGCAATTTTTTATACTTGGTTTTATTACTTATTTATATTACTAGATATATTTTATTTTTACAATAAAATTAAAGATTTTTTTAAAAAAAGTATTGCATAATCTTACGAATGTAAAAGTTTTAATTAACTTTTTGGCACAAAAATGTTTAAAATAGTAACTTTGATAGCCCTTAATGAGTAAAAAACTATCTATTTATAATTCTGAAAACCTTGTTATTATTTTACTTAATTAAGCAAAAGAGGTCAATTTCTGAAAATGGCAGCAGATAAGCAAATCACGTGCTGTTATTTCCAAATACATAAAAGATCCTGTATATTATGGTAAAAAAAAGCCACATGGTCGTCTTAAAAAGGTCTCTCTTAGAGCGCAGTCAAAATTATATAAAATTTAGCAGTGGTAAAAATATAACAGTGAATAATTAAAGCATATTTTAGATTTAAGTATTATATATCTACCATAACAAAATTTTTAGCAAAAGATGGCGAATTAAAAGGAGTGTTGTACGCCATAACTCTGCTTTAAATTTTAAACATAAAAAAAAATAGAATTTTATTTTCAAGTAAATAAATTTTTGAGACCAAGTAGGAAGAAATTGTATTTCTAGGTAAAAAAAGTTCATTCTTGATTGCCTAGATGGATATAACTGTTATTGAACAAGTATTTGATTAAAAAAATTGTATATTTACGCAGAGCTATTGGCGGACCTTCAGTCATAGTTTCAAGTTGTTTTAATTATTTTAAAAAATCAGAATTGGCTTTTATTTCGGAAAATATAGAAAGTTTAAAATATTAAGATTGGTGTCAGAAATTGTTTTAAAAAAAGTACAACTTTACAAAAAAAACTTAATGTAGAAGATCTACTTATAAAAATCCAAATGCAAAAGCTTTACAATAATTTGAACTTGAAACATTCACATAGAAAGTTGTATTTGGAATCAAGGAAGAAAAAATATCACCACTAGGCTCGTTATCATGGTTGACAAACGGAAATAACCCGGTTACAAGAGAAAGTACTCTTTGCTATCTTTAAGATAGAAATATGTTCTTTGGAGCCAAAAAAAATTGTTCAAATTGCAGAGAAGCAAATTAAACTGTTGATCTCATTGCTTCAAAGTAAAAAAATGCTAAATGGCAACTACGTGCGTTGACACAATGAAGTTCTAAAATGCATCCCCCGTTTTTTGTAATAAATACCATTAAAATTAAAAAAGAAATTAAGAAATCACTCTGTCCAGGAAATCATTAAGTAAAAAGGTATAGATTCGGGTAGACTCGTTCGTCAAAACGTATAGTAAAGTTAAAAATAATAGACCTGGCTTGATAGCCATAGATAAGAAAAAAAGAGATACTAATCATAGAAGTTGGCATAATTTCATTAAAAAACCTGATAAAGGTTAAAAGTGAGAAGCAAAGATAATATGAAATTATTAAAAACAAAATGACACTGTTATATGGGGTTAAGACAACTATTATACCATATGTACTAACTTGGGGTGTTATAGTTACTAAGTTTTTCGAATTATACAGACGAATATTGAAAATTTTAGATCATATCGAGGCTTACGTTCACTCTTTAGTCTTGGAGAAAAATCTAGAAAGCATTTCTTTAAAGTACAGACGAGCTCGGAAATTTTAAGAACCTGGCGAGGAAGATAAGCTATGGCAATGGTCCCAATTAGCGAACAAAGTGAGCCCAATCCTTTTCAGAACAAAAATTAGTTGATAGTGCATTATAAATAAATATTTTTAGATTGGCGTGGCTATGTTTGTAAAAATTTTCGAAAATACTTTTTAAATAAGGTTTATTAAATTTTTCATTTACAGGATTTTTTTTTCTAGTATCTCTTTTGATAATTAATCCGCATTTTCATTATAGTTTTTGTTTTTTTTTGTGTACGTAAGTTTAATTTTTGTATTTATGGTTTTTAATGTTTGCTTACTAACACTAATTAATTATTAAAATAATATCGATAATTAAACAACAAATACAAAACAAAAGTCTTTACTGTGTGGAATACTATAAAGATACACCGAATAACTATTTATTCTCATTTATTAATAAACAAAATTAACCTTAATAAATTTTTTTGCAAGATAATGCAAGCCCACAAATTTAATATCAGCAAAAAAATGGCTAATTTGCAAAAATATCAAGATAATGCTTTGGCTAGCATGTTTTTCTGATCTAAATTTTATTTAAAATCTTCGGGAAGAACTTTCTAGACAGGTTTATTTCGAAGGTAAAACCTATGATAGTTTAAATAAATTAAAAGCCACAATATCTAAAAATTGGTATAATATTAGCAACTAATTCTGTAAAAAGCTTACTAATTTGATGAAAAGCAAAATTAAACCAGTGATTGAACACAATGGTGGATTAAATATCATTTAAATTAAACTTTCGTAAGATTATGCAATACTTTTTGTCGGATTTAACGAACTTCTCAAATTGGTTTAGCGCAGAGTTCTTTTATTTGATAAAAATAATGCTATTATACTTGTAGTTAAATTTGTGTTTCACTATTGATAGATGGTTATCTTTAAATCTTGATTTCCAAGACTTAACAAAGAATAAACTAGAAATAAAACTATTACGTATATTCCACTTTAGATCTGGGCTTACGACACTTTTTTAAAAAAATCGTAATTTTATAATAACAATATATTATACCTAGTAGTAATAGAACAAATGAGCAGTTAAATTCCAGCAAAAAAATTAAATAGATTACTGTTAATAAATTGATACATTTATGCAATTCACATAGACTTTTTGAAAAAAATTGAGATGTTGTGAGACTATGCAACGGACTGTAAAAGCTGCTTAAATTGTAACATTTTTGTTTAATGACATTAAGAAATTTACTTTTTTATAGTTCCTATGAGTTCGTTTTGTACTTAATATTTGAGAAATGCTTTTAAGTGTTTTATTTTAGACTTTGAATTTGTGATATAATTTACCACCAAATAAATCACAATTCTGCCGAAATATAAAAAATACAAAAAAATGTCCCCTAAATTATTTGTTAAAACTAAAAATAAAATTTAAAGGTTCATATGAAAATTGTAAAGAAAAGTTATTTTTTATAATTTTACATTTACAACATTATAATTTAATTGCATAATTTCATTTAGTAAGTCCGATAATTTGATGTTTCAAAGTGTGCATACATTTTGCTACTGAATTCAGCTTTTAATACCTCTGGCTCTTTAAAAAAATCTAAAATTCATAATTTGTTTACAAACCGAATCAAAGACGAATGTTCATTATCAAATTCTTTTATTTAAAATGTTATTAAATCCTTCCACATAATTATCGTATGCGATTTATTAAATGCTATTTGGTTATATAAAGTCTGTAAAATAAAAAATGCAGATTTTTTTGGGTACTTTTATATTTTTTGACTTAAAACTAATATTATATTTATGATATGCTGTACACAACAATGCAAATTACAGAAAGTTTTTATTTTGTGTTTTGTTACTAAGCGACTTCTAAGCATATTTCAGGTAAAGTATAAAGCCAAAAATGCATATTTTTTTAAGAGACGAGAGAAAAATCTATAAATTTTCTCACCAACAATGTTCTATTATGTTAATCTCTAACCCTTACACATGGCTCTGCCTGAATCCTTAAGTTGTAAAATAATTGGCTTCTTGATAAAATTACTCACAGGTTTAGATTTCAAAAAAAACTCAAGATAAATCAAAGTACATTGTTTAGGATACTGTCTAAATACCGCAGAATGAGATAAAAATAATAAAAAAGGCAAGGAACATTGAGGATCTGTAATACTCCTAAAATTGAGACAATTAAGAAAATCAATTTAAAAAATCTAAAACTATCTTAGAGAAAGGTAGATACTAAGTTTAAAAAGAGTACTGATAAAATATATTGCATTTGTGAGTGAAAACTATTTTAAATGAAGCCAGTATTGGGGTATTTTTGCTATTAAAAACCTCTCTCGTCAAAAAAAAACATTTTGACTAGAATCAATAGAATAGCAGATTTTCTTTGTCTCTCAAATAATAAAATAAAAAGCATTATATTTTTAAATAAGAGCAAATTTAAATTTTTAACTCCAATAGTAAGGTTTCTCTCTGGAGTAACAAGAAATTGGCCTTCAGTTAAAGCGTTTAACACCAACAATTAAATTTGGAGGGGTCGGTCATGGTATAGGGATGTTTCTCATATTATGGAGTAGGGAGGTTGGTATTCATGAATGGAATCATAAATATTGCTGCATATGTTAACATTCGTGCGAATAATTTGACTGCCTCTGTTAATAGAATGGGCATTAAGAAGCTTATTTTCCAACAGGATGACGATCACAAGCCTCCTTCAAAGTTTGCAAGGGTTAATTTCGAGAAGAAAGACATATAATTGTTGTTATAACCTCCACAATCACCAGATTTAAACCCTATCGAGATTCTATGGGCCCCAATTAAGAGGGAGTTGGCTAGTTTATTTTAATACAAAGGACGAGTTTAAGGCAAAAATTGAACAAATTTGGAGTTCAATACTTATAGAATTATGTCAAAAATTAGAAATGAGTTTTAAAAAGTGATCAAGAACAGTTTATGAAACCAAAAGGAGGCATATTAGATATTAAATTAAAAATATGCACTTTTTATTTTACATTTTTTAAAAAATTAAAAAAAACAGCTATTATAACAACAAAAATGTAAAAAGTATTTAAAATTCATATAAAATGCAAAAATAAACAAGATTATTTTTCTTGTTGAGAAAGATAGGGCTGCAGAATTGCATCTTTTCGCTATGCATTTTTTGATTACAGACTGTATATAAATAGCTTGCGCTATCCTGTTGAAAAAGAGATCACAAATATAATGTGTGTTTTTTTAATGGATTTAATAGATATGATGTGCTTTATGTATGTACTTATTTTATTGTTTCAATTACAAATTATCCTTTTTATTTAAATTAAAATTTGCCATCGACACCCTGTATAAGATTAATATAACTAAATAAAAGCGAGGAAAAAGCACAAAAACAACGTTTCGTGCTTAAAGAAATAAACCCTACACTTATGCTACTTGTATTTTAAAAATAATAAAAACTCAACAAATTTTTAAAAAAGAAGGGTAAAAAAATAAATTAATGTTCAGATATATAGATGATGTGCTTTTTTCAAATGTTATGTGTATAGTGTGTCATAGCAATAACACCTTTTGTAATATTTTTAACACTTTGATTACAAATACGGCTTTAAAAAATACAATTGAATTATGTTTTGTACAAATCATAATATTTTACCATAATGTTACCACTTGTATACAAAGAATTTTAAAAAGTTTAAAAACAAAGGGTTAAAAAATAAATAAATGTTAAGATATCATTCTGATAGCTTTTTTGAGGCTTTTGAGATTTTTAATTAATTTTTAAAAAGTTTCTACTTTTATTAAAAAATTAAAAATAAATTTGCAGAATTTAAAACTAAAAGTAAATTTTTTGGCTATAGAAATATTTTTTATAAGTTTATTTATCAAAAACACTTATTTTAGAAATTGTTTTTTTCTTATTTATTTGTAAAGCAGCGTTCTTTACTAGTTTCTTCCAGAGCTAATAAGAAATTGTTATTAATTTTTTACTATAAATAAAAAAGTTTAAAGTACCTCCCACATGAAATTTAAAAAAATATTTTGTAATACAAATATCTTAATATTATTTTTTAGGTTAAAGTTAGCAACTGAAACTACGGAAACTGGTGAACCAAGTAGAAGCAATGATTATAATCCTTCGAAAGTAAATAATATAGAAAATATTGAAGCACTATATTTTAAATGCGTAGAAGGAAGAGGGTTAAAAAGAGTTTTTTTTTCTGTAATGCTAAAAGTTTTAGATTTTATGACTAATGTGAAAAAGAGAATTTGGATAAAATATTCTTCAAAATATTATTCGAAATACATTAAAAGGAATGCAAATTCAAGTGAAAAAAGAAGATATGAAAGAATGGGTTTAGGTATGTTTGGACTGCTTGAGAAACTTAAAAAGCTTTTATTTACAGATGATTCTTGTCAAGAACTTATTTTTGAAAGTTCGCCTCTGTTTGAATTTAGTCATAAATGTTACAGATGTGATAATTGCAATAAACCTAATCCTAAAGGGGATTTAAATTCTATTCATAAATGTAAAAAAACTTGTGAATACTATAATTTAACTAGCGGCCAGGCCATATTACATAGAAATTATTTTTGCTTCTATGCTTTTGTTGGAGAAGAAGTATCAAAGAATTTCAACTTTAAAGCTGACGAAAGAAAGGCATTGTTAGCTACATTTGGTATGACATTTAATAACACTGGATATTCATTTTTAGAAGTAATACTAATTAAGTGTTATGAAATTGTAGATCGAGCAGTTGAAAAAAAAGACTTTAACATTAAAATTTTCTAATATAATACCATTTGTAAATATTTTAACTGATACTATTAGTTAAATGTACAAGTAATTTAAAGAATAACTCTTTTATTCATAATCTTTAGTGAAGTATAATATCAATGTGGTATTAATTCAACATGCATTTTTTATTTTTCAAGGCGATAACTAAGATTGTTTTTCCTCATTGATAATTAGAAATTCACAAAACTTAAAATTTTAAAAA